GAATGGGGGCCAGGGGCGGGAGCGAGGTGAGTCTGGAACCTGACAGTGTAGACATGTCACCGCAGTGGAACGCTCCAGGGTGCTGAGGGTGCGCTGTGAGTGTGCCTTTGTCTAGCTCCAGTATAAAGTGCTCTGGGAGGTGTCCTTTCTGATTGGTTGGAAACCATTTCAAAGCTTGCTTGCTCTTCTGTTAAGTGTAAATAAAGGCTTAGGGTCAACCTAAATAAATAGCCAGCTAATCAGATTATGTTCACTGGTAGCAGATTTAGTTATGAATATAATTCCCATATGAAATTGTTTTGCTCCAGGCTGTGGTCTCAACTCTGCTTTATAGAAGAATCCAAGATCTGCTGTGGGTTCCATGTTGGGTGATTCTACTGTCCTTTTTTAAGTGGTAGTTCTAGGAAGACCTCAGGAGCCATGGGTTAAAGGTATTTTGCATCTGTTAACTCACAGACATGAGTTTTACTGTTTAAGCAAGATGACGAGGAAAACAAATTCAAATTAAACATGAAGATAGTAGAAAGAGCCTGGGATCTAGAGCCAGACAGACCTGCAGCTGAATCTTCCTTCTGGCAATTAGGGGTGGAAGGACATTTGGACCAGTGACTTAAGCTTCAGGTCTAGCTTGTGCCTCATTTGTAAATTGTGGGTATTGATGGCCTACAAGGACATTGTTAGGAACAATTGAAATACATACACGAGACATCCAGATCATCACCAAGTAAAATGTTCTCTTCTTCCAGATCCATTCTGTAGACATTCAGCTGAGCATTTGTTACACACAAAGCTCTGTGCTAGGTATTTGGGAGAGGCAGGATCAGAGAAGAGTGAGACTTACACCCAGCTCTAAAGAGCTCACGAGTGGGGAAGATGGGACTTGCACACAACCTACACCTACAAGCTCCGGCCAGACTGGCCGCCTTGCTGGGACGTTCAGGCACGCTCCTGCCTCGGCACTTTGGCACGGGCTGTGTCCCCTCTTCCTAGAACTCTCATCTCCCGCTGCTTCGCCTCCTGCAGATCTTTACTCAAATATATTCTCCGTGAGACCCTCCCTAGGCATTCTGTTTAAAATGAAACTGCCTGATACCAGTATTTCCCATTCCTCTTCCCTGATCGTTTTTCCCTCCAACAAATATTTATTTTATTTATATACATATGTGTGTGTTTATTTTCCATTGCCCTGTGCTCCTCCTCCCCCTTCAGTGTAAACACCATGATTATCTGATTTCTTTATCATTCTATCCCCCGTGCCTAGAACAGTGCCTAGTGGGATCAAATTAGTTAATTTCAGATACAGGGAGGAGCACGTGCAAAAGTTCCCAAGGGCCAGAGGAACAGAAGCAGTGTGAGGGACTATATTGGTTTTCTACTGCTGCTGTAACAGATGATCTTAAATTTAGTGACTTAAAACAACACTAATTTATTATTATTTTGTAATTCTGGAGGCCAGAAGCCTTACACAAGTCCCACTGGGCTAAACTCAAGGTGTTGGCAGGGCCGCGTTCCTTTCTAAAGGATCCAGGGCAGAGGCATTTCCCTGCCTTTGGCAGCTCATGTTGGTTGCCCATATTTCCTGGTACATGGCTGCCTCCATCCTCAAAGCCAGCCGTGGCAGATCCATCATATCACACCACTTTTCTACTTTGAAGGATCCCTATAATTATTATTAGACCCATTAGAAAGTCCAGGATGGGCTTCCCTATTTTAAGGTGAACTGATTGGCAACCTTCATGCCATCTGCAACTTAAATCCCCTTTCCCATGAAACCTAACATATTCACAGGTTTTCAGGATCAGGTGTGGACATCTTTGGGGGTCCACTGTCCTGCCTACTGTGGGGAGTAAGAAGCAAGATGTTTTGCTTAGAGCCCACGGTTTGAGCTGCCAGGTGTGAAATATAAAATGGGAACACTTAGTCATGAATGGCCGCCATTGTCATGATTTCACATGTGGGCTTTATCTGGGAGGTGGCGGGAAGTGGCTGAAGGCTTTGGAGCAGGAGAGTGAGGTGATGGGACTAAAGCTTTAGATGAATATGTGAAGGGACACTGTTTACCTTCTCAAAGGGGTTTGATTCCTGCCCTCCTTTGTATAGAAAGCTAGGTGTGTATTTAGAATTTCCTAAAAGAAGTGGGGTGCACTTACAGTGTCTATTTTAAAACCACCCTGTTGTATCACAGATGTGCACAGCACATACACACAGAGACCCAAAAAGCCCTGTTACAAACACACACACACACACACACACACACACACACCGCTCACGCCCCCTCACGGGCACACCTGCTGCCTCACCCTGTTCTCGGGATCTCTTCTCTGTGGTTCTCCGTGGCTGTCACTTTTTGTTCTGCCCTGACACACCTGAGTGATATGTATCTTTCCACCAGGAACCCAGGCTTACTCTGGCAGTGGTTCTCACAGGGCTGATTCTAGAAACCACCTTAGTAGACACGGATGAGTCTCCAGGGAGATGTAGGCCACATGTGGAAGCCTGCCCTCCCTTCCCTTCACCCCCACCCTGGCCATGACCTGGTACAGCTTCCTAGAGCAGTTCTTTGCCCTGACACCCACTGAGAGTCTCATGGATATTGAACACCTAGTTTTGAATAGTGTCTGATGAGAGTTTCTTCCCCTTTGATTAGCCTCATTAAAGGATACTGTCCAATAGAACTTTCTGTAATGACATAACTGTTCTGTATTTGTGCTGTCCAATGTGGTAGCCACAGCCACGTGTGGCTGGTGAGCTCTTGAGATGCGGCTAGTGCAGCTGAAAAACTGAATTTGTTATTTTATATAATTTGAATTCATTTATACTGACATAGCCACCTGTGGCTGGTGGCTACTGCACAGCCACGTGTGGCTGGTGAGCTCTTGAGATGCGGCTAGTGCAGCTGAAAAACTGAATTTTTTATTTTATATAATTTGAATTCATTTATACTGACATAGCCACCTGTGGCCGGTGGCTACTATATTGGGCAAAGCAGCTTTAAATAACTAGAACTTGCTGAGCATGCGAAACAGACCACAACAGTGTCTGTGGTAAGCTGAGTGTAGAGACGAGAACACAGCCCTTTCGAATCAGACAGACCTTGGTTTAAATTTTGGCCCCAACTAGTGACTTTTGGGAAAGTCAGTTCATCTCTCCAGACCACAACAGTGTCTGTGGTAAGCTGAGTGTAGAGACGAGAACACAGCCCTTTCGAATCAAACAGACCTTGGTTTAAATTTTGGCCCCAACTAGTGACTTTTGGGAAAGTCAGTTCATCTCTCGGAGTCTCAATTTTGTTATCTACAAACTGGGTATGATCAGTGGTTTATCAGGGAGAAGGTGGTAGGTGCCCTCTGACCTGGCCGGGAAGAATATTTTGCCTCTGAGTTGTTCAGAATTGTGACCTGTTGATAAAAGTAAGACCTGCTCTCTGTCGGTTTTATTACTGCCTCTCAGTTATCTGTAGATGATGCGCCCTCTTGTTGCCTGACCCAGGGTAGGCTACTCCCCCACCCTGCCATGTTACCCCACTGGTGCGATCTCACGTATGTAAAAGAGCTCTGTGCAGATAAGGGGACACAATATTAGTGAAGCACCCAGCACTGTGTTGCACGCGTGGTTTTCAGTCATTCATTCAGTGAGCACCGATTGAGCACCTGCCAGACACTTGCCAGATGCTGGAGATACAACAGCAGACAGGAAGGGTGGGGGACCTGCTTACCAAATAGGAGCACAGACATTTAATAAGGGGTAGCTCACGATTTTATTTTGAGTTGCTTTTTTAAAATGTTGGGGCAGAGAGGTTGTTTGTTTTTAGTTCCTGTGGAAGTTCATGTGGTTCACGTGGGTGTGGTTGTATTTATCTTCCGTTATCCCAGCTTCATTTTGGTTGGTAACTCCATAATTGGTTAAAGCATTATCTGTAGGTCACCTAAACAATAGTCTTCTCACCCATTCTCCTCTTTAAATGACAGTTTTATTAAGATATAATTCACATATGGTACAATTCACCCAGTTGTAATTCAGTGGTTTTTAGTCTCTTTACAGAGTTGTGCAACCAGCATCACAGTCATTTTTTAGAACATTTTTATCACCCCCAAAAGAAACCCTTACCCATTAGCAATCCCTCCCCAATTCCCTCCAATCCACCCAGCCTTCGGCAACCACTAATCTGCTTTCTGTCTCTATGATCTTGCCTATTCTGGAATTTCATATAAATGGAGTCATACAACATGTGGTCTTCTGTGACAGGCTTCTTTCACTTAGCACAATGTTCTCAAGGCTCATCCATGCTCAGCAGGCATCAATACTTCATTTATTGTATGGTTGAGTAATATTCCATTTGTATGGATATATCACATTTTACTTATCCGTTCATCAGTTGATGGACGTTTGAGTTGTTTCCACTTTTCTTTGGCTATTATGAACAATGTTGCTATGAATCTTTGTGGACAAGTTTTTGTTTAACCTGTTTCCATTTCTCTTGGGTATATATCTAGAAGTGGAATTGTTGACATGGTAACTCTGTGTCTAACCTTTTGAAGAGCTGCCAGACTGTTTTCAAAAAGCAGTACGATTTTATATTCCCACCAGCAGTATATGAGGGTTTTAATTGCTCCACATTCTCACCACTACTTGCTATAATCTCTTTTTTTATTGTAGCCGTGCTGGTGGGTATGACGTGGTATCTCATTGTGTATTTCCCTGGTAATGATGTCAACCATCTCTTCATTTGTTCCCGGATCATTTATATATCTTCCTTGGAGAAATGTCTATTCACATTCTCACCACTACTTGCTATAATCTCTTTTTTTATTGTAGCCGTGCTGGTGGGTATGACATGGTATCTCATTGTGTATTTCCCTGGTAATGATGTCAACCATCTATTCATTTGTTCCCGGATCATTTATATATCTTCCTTGGAGAAATGTCTATTCAGATCCCTTGCCCACTTTTTAATTGCATTATTTGTCTTCCTTTCCTGTCTTTTAATTTGGCCTGAGCAGGATGCCGATATGCTAATGGGTGATGAGCAGGTGTGGAAGGAAGTTCAAGAATCTCTGAAGAAAATCGAGGAACTGAAGGCGCACTGGAGTATCCTTTCACCGGTGGGTTGAGCTGGACTGTTGGGATTGCTGCCTTATTGGATGGAGCCTGGTGTTGATGAGACCAAGGACAGGGTTAGCTCGCCATGAACCAGAGGGCCTCATTCTGTTCGGCAGTCACAGGCTGCATCCCTGACCCCAACCGGAAATTTGGGTAATGGCTAGGGAAGACTGTGGCCAGATCTGCATCATTAGATAATAATCAAAGTGTATGGCCCAGTAATAGTAAGTAGTAGTTTCTTTATGTGTACAAGGAAACAAATCCCTAGATTCCCTTCCTCCATAACCACTTACATCTCTAAGATAGAACAGTTTAGAATCCTTATAATTTAATCCCACTGGCCCTCAGACCTGGATGCTTCATATTAAATCAGCCATGACTACAGTGGCAGCGGAGGTTGCTGTACAATAAATTTTCTTGGCATAAACAGTAAGGACCACAAGTGGGTCAAAGTTTAGAGTAGGGAGAGACTGTTTATGATGGAGGTCACCTGGGAAGGCCCCACTGATGTTTTGCTGTGCAAAAGGTATCCTGAGTCAGGGACAGGATTTGGATAGTCAGAGGCTGAGAGGGAGGCTGTTCCCAGTAGAGGAGATCAGTTGAGCAGACATGTGACAAACGGAACCCACGAGGTAAGAAGACACCAATAGATGAAAAAGATTGCAAAAGGTCATTCAGATGCTGTGGGTAAGTTATATCCCAACACAAGGTTAAAACGAGGTGCAACTCTTGCCACAGGCACTAAGAAAGTCTGTAAATGAGGTTTCTCATCTACTGACAATGCTTTTTAAAGAATTGTAAAGGATGAGAGAGGTTGGTTGGTATTTCTGTTTTTAAAGGTGAATGAAATACATAGTTTCTGAAATCTACAGCCAAATGAGTTTGTTAGTCTTAGTAAAGAACCTAGAATTGGTTACTAAGGAACATAAAAGAAAGCTGTGATCACCAGGGTGCTGGGTGGATTTGCAAAGAGGAAGCGAATCCATAGAAACGTGGCTTGCTTTGGTAAAGTTTGTATCTAGATTTCAGAAAGGGATTTGACAAAAAGCAATCAAGGAATAGCTGTTAGCAAACCAGGCATCTTACGAAATGGTTGAAAAGTTATACTGAAACAACGATGCTAATTGGATGACTGTCACTCTGTTCCCGTCTCAGCCTCTTCAACCTTTGATTCCACACCTTGAAGGAAGATACAGAGCAAACTTCCAAAGGTGCACAGATGGGAAGGATAACAGAGGTGGGGAGATGGAATCAGGAGCTCAAATGGTGTCTAAGTTTAAAAAGTCATGGAATGATTCATACTATCCTTTAATTCTATTTTTCCATGAACTTTTTGAAGTACCCTCGTATGCATAAAGCTTAGCAGCAGCACATGTAAATTAATTTTATGTCTTTAGTGAGTAGCAAAATGTAATAAAGCTTAAGAGTAAAGCTTAAGAGTATGACGTAACCCCCTAAAACACTGCCGTGATCTTGGGCTGCATTAATAGAAATATAGATTATAAAATGAGGGCCGGCCCGGTGGCGCGAGCACATGTAAATTAATTTTATGTCTTTAGTGAGTAGCAAAATGTAATAAAGCTTAAGAGTATGACGTAACCCCCTAAAACACTGCCGTGATCTTGGGCTGCATTAATAGAAATATAGATTATAAAATGAGAGGGGCGATAGTACTATCTGACTGTATCTGGAATTTCCTATGCAGTTTGTGGTGGGACATATTAAAAAGGATATAGAAAAAGTGAAATAAGTTTGAGGAGTGAACTCAGAATCCAGGTGGAATTTGAAATGCTGTTTACAGACAGATTGGAAGATGCTGGGAAAACAGCCGACTCTGGGAGCAGGAGATTCGTGTTCATGGGCTGAAAGATCCATTCCACGGCAGAGCAGTGGACTTTCTCTGTGTGGGCGCATGCAGCAGAACTGGGGCCCGTGGATGACTCAGCTACAGTTCAGTCTCAAGGGGACAGGGTTTTACTGAAAAGTACTCCGTGCTGGCTTCTGATCCAGGCAGAAATTAGAAGACACAGCCCTGCACTCAGAACTTCCCTCATACATAGTGGGGTAGTAAATACGTATGGTATTACATATTTTGGTAAAGGTATATATTTGTAGGGACTTTGGGAGGTTACAGAAGGTTTCACAGAGGAGGCGACGGAGCTGTGTCTGGAGGGTGAGCGGGAGTTCACTAGGCCAGCAGAGTGGAGGTGACACACGCAGACCTGCAGAATGTAAACTGCATGCTGTCGAGAAATAGCCAGCTCAGCACGAGAGGAGGGGAGCGTGGCCAGGCCTTAAATGCCATGCACAGGAGGTTAGACTTCATAGGCAAGAAGGGACGGTGGGACGATGGGACGATGGGAAGCAGTAAGTAGCATTAAAGATTAAGTGAGCAAAAGCTCTGTGGTCGGACACTCTGAGTCTCAGGAACTTGGTTAATTCCCAAGTGAATTTACTTTGCTCTTCTTTGTCTTTGCCTCTAATCCTCTTATGGTCATTTGAAAGTGTTCAGAAGAAGAGGGATCCGTTTTGGCCATCGGTAATCTATGCTCTCTGGGTGGGCTATCCAGCCCTGCTTGGGTCTGGAGCTCAACTCCTCAGTGGAGCAGAATAATGTGCAATGAACACCGCACAGACACCGGAGACTAAGTCTTTGAGCAAACACATGTCAGCATCAGCTTGGGGGAAAAGCCTCTTTGTTAAAATTATTCCATTAATTTTGCTCACTGGGGTGTTTTACAGGAAAGGTTTTGCCTTGTTTGCCAAGAGACAGTCACCAGTGTTGTGAAGGGAAATTGGCATGTGGTCCCTTCCAGCGTGCTGAGGGATGAAGTAGATGTATTCCTATGAGTGGCTGGAGAGCGTCACCTCTGGTTTTTACATCTAAGGTGTCACCTCAAACCTCTTTAGAATGAGTTGGAACATACCTCTAAATAACTAGGCAAATGCTCGTAGTGGTCAGACAACACGATGTTCACATGAGGTGCAAGTCTTGCCGCAAAAATGTCTAGCCTTGTGTAAGAGACAGTCATTCTCCTGATGGGTCATCAAATACCTAATCCTCAGATGAAAAGCCACAGCGGGCAGCCTGGCAATCTGCTACAAACTCAGTGCATTGCCCAAGATACTGCTTCCTCCGACCTCTGGGGGGTACACTCAGCAAACGTTAAACGTGTATGTCAGATGAATACAAAAGAAAACCACTAACTCATTTTTCTTCAATAAATGTCCCTCTTCTGGGACCAGAGTCAACTCCTCAGAGTCAGGATGTGTGCTGAAGTTACGGGGAGGAGGGGGGGTACTATAAAGGACCCTCAGCTGTACATTGTGCTGTTAGAAATCCTCCCTATGGAAGTCACCCTTTGGGGTAAGGTATTGTGCCTCCAGGAGGCCCTTGCTGAAACCAAAATATATTTCTTGACAGTTCATAAAGATATTTGTCCCCACACTCACAAGTGGGTTCACTGGTTCGTTAAAAGCATTGGCTGATGTTTTGGAAAGCAGTGCCCTGAGGGTCTGGGTGCTAATGCTGGAGAGAGAAAGGAGAGACACAGTCTGTTCAGGGAGGGACACGCTGTGTCAGGACATCAGTGACAAGGCTTGAGTTGAGGGCAGAGGGTGGTGCAGAGAACACTGGGTTGTGAAAAGCAGGGTCCTTTGGGAGTGGGGTCTCAATCAAACGCAGCCCATGACCCATTCTGTTCACTTGTATAATGAAAACACTTTTAAATATGG